TTACCAATAAAATAAAATTAAAAAAAAAAAAAGCTCTGTCAGCCCCTTGAAGACAGATTTTGACCCTTTCTATGCTTCTCAGCGTGGCTGTGCTGATCACAGCCCCCTTCTTGCCCACATCACTGCTCCTCTCCTTGACTAGGATTCTGGGACATGGCAGAGCCTGAGGGGGACCTTCTGCCCCAAAACTCCAGGAGCACTATGGCATCAGTTCTTTCCTGAGGTACCTCTTCAATAGTTTCTCATCCTCAGGATGATGTCCTCATCTAACAACAGGGTGAAATTAGCCTTCTTTATCATTCTCCTGTAGTACTGTCCCAAATCTACAAACAGTTAGAAATCAACTGGGAGAGAAGTACGACCTCATACATAAAGTATAAATAAGTCCTTTATTATATAAATAATGAAAGTAGATAAAGATGGAAAAGTTTTCTTTGAACAAAAATTAAATACAGCTGCTCAACATAACACAATGGCCAATGCTTGGATTTTTCTCTTCAAACAATGGTATGACAACATATATACAGCCTGATAATGGGAGGGGGCAGAACTGAGGACTGAACCTAGGGCCTTCACACTAAGCTACATTCCCAGTCCTTTTTAAAATTTTGAGATGTCTCACTAAATCTCTAAATTGCCCAGGCTGGGATCTAACTTTGCTCCTCCTGCCTCAGCCTCCCAGAGTGCTTGGATTACAGGCTACCCAGTCTAGTTCTGGTAACTTTTTGTAGTACTTCATTGTTCCTAAAAGCATATTACATCAACCTTTACTTATTTATTTAAATTACTTCTGGTATTACACACATAATCTTTTTAATGTTTAAATACCATTAGAATTCAACTTTGATCATTTGTGGAAATTTCCATGCAGGCTCAGTGAAAAATGTTTTTATGTTTACGTATTTTACTCTTCAGAGAAGTCACCTCTAGATCTCTTGGATATATCACTCTTTCCTACGAAAATGTAAGCAACTCATAAATTCTCTGAATTTCAGTATTAAGGAGTAGTTACTCATGTTGTCTTTCCACATTTCATAAGTTCTCAATTTGTCGTAATAACTTCCTTTTTTCAAGTTGAAATCTGATCCAGTTGCTTTTAAATAACTTTCTTTTTTCCATATTTCTTTCCAGGAGTCTTTGAATTTTTTCAAATAACTTTCTTTTTCAGATTCTTCCTTCCATATTCCGTCTCCTTTTTTTATAGCCGTTAATTCAGCTTTAAGTAATTTTCTGTGAATTGTCCAGTAAGTTTTGGAATTATAATTCAGCCCTTTAACAAGAACAGTTTTGCCCAGGCCTCTTCGCAAGATTTCTTCATTCAGATTCACGCTAAAATATCCACCCTTGAATTTAAAACAAAAGACAAAACAAAAAAACCACACACATAGAAACTATTTAAGAAAATTGTTATTATACTGTAACATCTTTTTTTTTTTCTTTTTGGTACCGGGGATTGAACTTGGGACCTTGTGTTTGCGAGGCAGGCAGCAGAACCACTGAGCCAAATCCCTCGGCCCTGTAACATCTTATTTATCTTAAAATCAATCACTTAGAAATTTCAGCCCTTCACAAAAAAGCCAAAAATATTAACAAAAGAGTTTTCAGGAGCTTAAAACAGCTACTGCTAAGTCCAAGAATTTTATTGTAAGAGATCCTTCTCAAAGTCAATTGATTCTTTTATGACATAGGATTCTCTACAGACTCTTTTGGTCTCTACCCTCAAAGAGGCATAGAAGCAACATAGCATAGAAAAATTTTTTTGGTGTATTGGTGGTTATTTGCAGAGACAGCAGGCACACAATTCTGGCACAAAGACAGGAGCCCACAGCAAAGGAAAGTAAAAAAGCAAAAAATAGACAAACCCCAAAGGAACTGTTACAATTAGGTTCGGAATTCTAGTGTCTAGAAGGGCACTTGCATGTACATTTTTTTAAAGACCTCCCTCAAAATAATTAACATAAAAATAGTCTTGGCTCTTGAATTTTCATCCTTCTGGAAATTTCCTTCCAGGAACAATTCACTTCCTAATGAAAATGGACAAACAGAATTTTTCTCCCACTAATTCATATTATAGACAAATATTTCACAGCTAAGTTCTAAAAATAAGAAAATTCCAGGTTAAAATTAGGAAACATTTTCTAAGGCCACGTAAAGGCATAGAGTAACCTTTTAAAAATATTTTTTAAATAAAAGTAAATAAGTTTTATTCCTCTAAATACAGTAACTTTTGATACATGATGACAAAGTTATAAAAGGTTAATAACAATTATGAAGGCTTTATCATGTTTGTCTCAATTTTTAAAATTTTATGAGCTCTTTCCCTTGAACCAAAATCAGAATGAAAATTTCAACACCACACACTCATTAAATTCAAACGGGAGAAGTAAACATTCACAAATAAGCATACAGCATGGTTTGTAAACCTAGGAAGTGATGTAAGGTGAATGTATCTAAAATAGAGGTGGGCTTGGAAGCCAGCAAGAGCTGGGCTTGAATACAGGCTCTCTCCACTTGGTTCCTCTGGCAAAAGCAATTATCTTTCCTACCAGTTCCACCTGTAACGGGATAAAACTCCACAGGCTGCTCATGAGGATAAATGAAGTAATAGAACACAGCATTTAGCTCAGTATCTGGCACATGGCAGAGATTCAAAATATTATGTTATCTTCATTGCTATAATCATCTTTTTTGATAACTGTTACTTACTCTTCAACTTAAAAGAGAACCTAATATTTTTATAAGGGTTTGGGGATGTTTGATACAATTTGGTATGATAAAATTACTTTAAGATCCTTCAGCTAATTAGTTTTGGATAATTCTTATTTTGAAAGAATTTAATATGATCTGGACATACAAAAATTAATAGATTTCATTAGACTTCCTATTAATAATTCAAAGTTTAGGGTTGGAGATTTAGCTCAGTGGTTCTGCCGCCTGCCTCACAAGTGCAAGGTCCTGTGTTCAATCCCCAGTACCAAAAAGAAAGAAAAATAATAATAATAATTCAAAGTTCAAACAATTAAAATTCTAATCATTTTAATATGAGTTTTTTTCAGGTCATTCTCCTGAATGCTAGGACTATATCATGCCCAGCTTTACATTTTTTTGTACTCATCTATGGGTTACATAACCCTGCACACAGTACCTGTTCTTAACGCCAACAAAAGTTTCCCCACAATAGAATATTTACTGCCTTGTAATAAATCAACAGTTTGTTCAATACAAGCTCCCACTTCCCTGTCATCTTTGGATTTAGAGCTATCTAAATCTGTGTGTCTTAAATCACAACTCCTAAAACCCCATACAAAGTAATTCTGCAGTTCCTGAATTTGAACTGTTTGATACAACAAGGTATTAGACTAGGCTGAACAATATGTTTACCACAGAAAACACCCTTGTTCTTCATAGTTTCTGGGGGACAAGCCTCACTCAGCAAGTGGTTTCTACTAACAATTGTGATGGACCATATATAATGTATATATAAATGTATGAAGAGACTCTTTAACTTAGCAATGCGCAGTCGTTAGTACTTGGAAGGTTTTTCTTTTTTCACAAACTTCTATAATAAACATGTATTAGATATGTAACTAAAATTTTATAACAAAAAAATATATATAAAGCACCTGATTCTCTA